CCTGCTGAGGAAGCCAGATCCTAATAGTTCATCTTTCTTTAGGGTCTCTGGGAACATGGGTGAGCGCTGAGAGGCATGCAGAGGTTTGAGAGATGCTAGTTCCTCCTGCAGTTGGTACGAGCTGAGCTGTCAGCCTGAGCAGAAAAACTGCTTTTTTGGACCTGTGAATGTGTGATCCGTGCTCCTGAGCCACCCTGAGCTGCAGGACGACACAGCAGGGACATGTCTTTGCCACTTAAGTCCCTTTCAGAACTTGTTATGCTGCTCTTTGCTTCCCACTGAGTCTGTTTCTGAACTGTCCAAGAAAACCTTCCAGAGGCGACACCTAGCACAGGCTATTGCAACCTTTGTATAAAAAAAGGCCTCTGAAAGACCAAAATGTGACAGGTTAGCTTTCAGATGCAGTTCTGGGTCCCTGTTATTACCTCTGCTGAAGACATCTGGTTTAATCCAAATAATAGTGGCTGTTTTGAATGTATTGGCTTGTGTCTGAATCTAAAGAGCAATGCAAAGATAGGAGCAAGCTAGGGGAAACAGCAGTTTTAAAACTCTGATTCTTCTTTGTCCTTTCTCTCCTTTCCCAAACTTCCTAACATTTTGAAGGATGCACGCCAGAAGTTTCGCTCAGTGCTGGTTGAAGCAACATTAAAACTGGATGAGCTGTTAAAGAAGATTGGAAAGGCTGTAGAAGACTCCAAACCGTACTGGGAAGCTCGGCGGGTGGCCAGACAGGTGAGAACTTTCTGCCTTATAAGCTCATGCTGGTCGCTGGATAGCACATCGCTTTGGGCTATTAATAAAGTCTTAAGTGTAGGCATTTGGCTGACACTGGTCTTGATATCAGCCATGTGATATCTGGATATATGGGTATCAGCCATGTGAATCTAGCAAAATCTGTTCCTTCCCAGCCACAGCTGCACGTGTCCTTCGGTCCAGGAGCAGCCACAGCAAAAGACTCGTGCTCATTAATAGCAGCCTTCCCAAGTCCTGCTCTTTGCTGTCAACGGTTGAATTTGCTTGGAAACATATTGTAGAGTTTGAGTATCTGCTTATCTCCTTGCAAAGCAAGATGTTGAGCTGCTAGTGGCTGCACCTGGAAACAGCTGGGAAAGGAGTTGGAGTGGAACAGAGCTCGGTGCTGATTTTGTTGTGTTTGGGCAGGAATGTGCTCTAGGTTTGACTATAAAGTGTGTTGGTACTGTGAGAAACCAAGGTCTGTCATCTGGACCTTATCTGCCTTGCCACAACCACCAAAGCAAACCTGAGCATTGGTAGGCACCTAGAACTGTTCCTTGGTTGGAAAGAAGGCTCCGTGTGGCTAAGGCAGGGGAGGACGAGGTGGAAGTAGAGGTGGGATCTGCTGACTCTAAAGGAGGCTTGTAAAGTGTCAGGCTGCTTCTCTCCTTAGGAAGAACTAGCTGAGACTGGAATGTGTGGTGATGCAGGCAGTGCTTCTACTTGTTTTCCATGATGGGTTCTGCCGGTTTCTGAGGGGTTTATTTTTTTCCCGCCAGGAGGGAGGCTGTTCTTGGGTGCTGCTTTCTAAATGCTCTGAAGGCAGGGAGGGAGGAAGGGGGAAGAGTTGGCTGGAGCTTCTATTTTTGTGCCCAGGCACCCTTTTGTGGAAGGGTGGCTGGGTTGTCAGCTGTGGCTGGGTAACTGGGGTGTGATTGTGTGCACAAATTAGTGGAAACGAGTGGTGCAGCATGTATGAAATCTATAAAAATTATATGATGAAGGTTTCATAGATTAAAAAAGGTGGGGACTCGGTTTGAGTTGGGGAGAGAAGCAGCGTAGGTATCTGCCAGGATGAAGAATATAAACTCACTGGGTGCAAGAGAAAAGGGGAAAGAAGAGAATTTACTCTAAGAAAAGGCACAGGAGAGGGAGACATGGTTGCAAGCTTCATTGCTTTAAAAATGTTAAGTCAGGAGATTGGTTGATAGGGTGTGGGGTACTGGAAAAACATGTGCCCCTGTTGATTCTAAATTACATGGCATTATTTTGGTACTCTGGCCTCAGTTAGTGTGGGTGATACTTGGAGGGGTGGGGGTTAATCCTTCAGACTAGAAACAAGATATCAAACAGATAAGCTCCACTTCAAGGTACAAGTATAGCATTTACTGTTCATTTGTAACTGCTCCAGGAGCAATTCCTGCTCATGGAGCTTATGGTAGAGACAAATCAGTAGTCATCTAGAGAGGTGAAGCTGGGGACAAAATAAGATCAAGGAATCATTTGTACAAATTGTCACAATGTGAACAATGTAAAAAATACCTCTTGTACTCGTCTTACTATAAATAGCTGTGTAGGAGATGGACTACATAGGGCTTCAGGAGGTATTCTTGAAAAGGTCTGTAGTAGAAAAGCGCACTCTGAAGTGCTGGAAAATCAGAACACTTTGGACTGTGTAACACGAGGTACTAAGAGCGGTGAACTTTGTCCTCTCCCCTGAAGTTGGCTTCAGATTGTATCTGAAAGTGGCATTGTATGAAATAGCTTGGTATCTTTCTATTCAGTTTCACAAAGCACCTTGCTCGTAAAGATTGTCCTCTGACTTCTGTAAAATTTTTAGAGACATTAGCCCATTTCTGAAAATAGAGACAAGGCCTCTGTGATTGAAATAGTTTGAATTAAAAAAAAAGGAGGAAAAATGCTCGACTGTGCTTGTAGAAAAGGGAAGTTTTCTTTGTCTTCTTTTGTTGTCTCTAAAGGGAAATAAAAATACGAACTACTAGTTGAGGTCTTCTGAGAATGAAGAACTGCCGAACTAATGACATCTAGCTTGGCAGAAACGACAGTGTCATCTTGAGTTACTTGCGTTCAAGATGCCGATTGTAGGGCAAGTTGTCTGAAACAAGCTGCAGAAAGTCAGTTTTCAGATGGCACTGGTATGGCTCCCTTCTGGAAATACTTGTTTCATCTCTTAAGATAAAATCCATAAAAGTGCCATTTTGATGATGCAGAATGGGTCCTCAAAAACCTGACCCCAAATCAAGTATTTCTTTTGGGAGCCTTTAAACTTTTGAGCCCTTTTGTCTCCTCACCCCTATCCCCATCTTGTGCAATCCTTGGAACAAATTAGTTCTGCCATTAAAGATGATCTTGCATTAGGATCTTGTTTGTGTAGTGTATAAAGAGAACAGTAAAGAGAACAGTAAAGAGAAGTTCAGCCGGCCCTACCTTGGGATGAAACTTCACTGCAACAGAGAAACAGTCTCTTACTGTTAGGATTTGAGCGCTCTGTGCTCTGCAGTGTTGGCACAGGGAACTGGGATGCTGTCTGTTGGCACTGAGATATTAATAATCAGCTATTGCTGAAGTCGAGAGAAACCTGAAGTCATGCAGCCCCCATAGATTTCATGTTGTTTTTGTCCCCCCATAGCTATCACACAGCTTCTGCTTTTTCCTCTTTCCATATTTTTCTTTAAGTTATGCCATAATGCTCCTCTGGATGTGCATGTGCACAAGCAATGAGGATGTAGCCATAATCCAGAAAGTGATTCGGGCTTGAAGTGTTATGCTAATCAACTTTCCAGTGTTACTTTACATATATATGTATATATACATATAAATATATATATATATATATATATATGCTGATCTGGGAATTAGACTTGTCTTGCTGAGCAGTGATGGGGGAGAAGGGTGAAGTTGCCAGGAAACATCAATAATTTAATTAGCAATGTAGGTCTTGAGCCTCTGAGGTAAGGAGGGCTTTGGCCACTGCTCACCTAGCACTTAGCGGTGTCGGGGCAGGAAAGTTGCTGTGCGATAGTGTCTGAGCAGGTGAGTGGGTTTGGGAGAGATGTGTTGCCTCCCTTGCGATAAAGTGCTCTGGGATGGGATGCAAAAGCAAGTGTGGCCCGTTGCATAACCCTTCATGCGGTTAGGAGTCAGTCTGTGTTGTTGCATGGCCTAGATGAACTATTTCATCTTTCAGCTCCCATGTAAATTGAGCTGTCAAGCCTCTGTGAAACTGAGTTCATTAAGGGAAGTAAAAGTGCTTTGGGGTCACTGGGTGAAAGGGGCCACTAAAACACTGTTATCCACATGTCATCACATGTGAACCCAGGAACTGATGGAACAGGAAGATTGGCCCTCTTTGGCTTTGCTTCTGTGGAAAATACTCCAATAAAAATGTGTCCCCTACTCCCACCCCAACAAGTATAAGAATTCCTGCCTCTACAGTGAACCTAGGCAGAAGAAAAGGCCTAGGAATGTTGCATTTGATTAAGCTGTAGCTCCTGTTCCTGAGCTCTTGATGTGGAGTGAGGAGTTATGTTTTAGTGTCCAGCACTGGCCCAGATTGGAGGGATGTCTTGCTCTAGTGCTAAGTTAGGCAGGAAAAAACATAGATTTTTCTTTCTTGTCTAGCTTTTACAAAGCGTATCGGTAAGCTTGCTTCAGGCAGGAAGAGATGAAAGGCCTATGCCAGGTCATATCTGTATGCATCTCTCACTAAGGGACCTGTCTTTAGCAAGTCTTCAGAGCGTAGTACTTTGAAGGTAGGCATGTTCTGCTTCCTTGTGGGTCACCTTTCGGGGTTCAGCTTTACAACTTATTCTTCTTTTCATGCTCCTGCCATACTTTCTTAAGCAGCACTCTTCTGCTGTCACAGAAGATTTGGAAAAACGTATTGGAATTGGTATGTACAACGGTTTCTTCCTTGCTGAAGCCTAGGCATACCTGAGATGAAACACAGTTGCCTGGCAAGTGGGTTCTGTTCAGCGGGTTCAGCTGACACATCCACTTCATTATCGCTTTGTATTAAATGCCCCTCCTTTCTCCCTGCCACTCCGCTTTTCTGATTAGCTTTCACTCATTGAGTATTTTATACTGGATTGCTGCATCTGTTTGAAGGAATCAGCCCACAGGAAGGAGGAATCATTAAGGGTGAATTAGCAGATTCAAGGCCTGGGATCCTTTCTGCCTGTCTTTGCGAAACATGAGGGAACCCAGTTACCACCAAGCAGTCATTTCTTCTCTCAAATGTAGATTTTGGTTGGACTTGGCAGGTGGAGCCGAGTTGCTATTGGACATCTGTAGACCAAGGTGGATATAGAGGATTTACCTTGATGAAGTTTACCACCTACCAAAAGGTTTGGAGTCCAGTCCACGCTAATCATTTAGGCACTTAATCACTGAGTGTGATCAGTGTTGAGAGGTAGACTTGAACCAGCTTCTGAAATCCCATCTGCCTTTATTAAATACAGAGGGAATTTAGACATTTAGTCTTTAGTTGTTTAACCATTTAAAAGTTGTCAAATGAAGCCTGAATAAAGTGATGTCACAAACTTTATTTCCAAAGTGAAAGCCAAAAAGCTGCTGTAATCCTGCAGAACAGGAACCGAGGAGTAACTTGGCCACTGGCTGCTGTAAGTGGGAAGGATGTAAGCAGATAAGAGCACAATTACCTAGTTGGAAGTCTCTTCCTCAGCAGATAGGATTGATACTGTTTCTCACAGAGGGTGGGATTGCAGCGCCTATAAATGAACAAAACTTTCCCAAGTGCCCATTGCATCTGAGTTCCTAAGTGTTCAGCTTGAGATGTCTGCGAGGAGTGTGACTCCACAGACGGGAGATTGCCGGGAGCTTTCAGAAAACAAAGGCTGCTAAAATGCTTATAACTTGGAAGTTTGGAACTGCCAATCACCTTTAAAAAATAATTAGGAACTGGAAAGTGTTGTCTTGCCTGTATGGCTTCGTACAGCACCCAAGTTTCCCATCCA